ATGCTGGTTGTGGTTAAAGAGAGCTGCAGCCAAACACATTTGGAGAGTTGTATCTTGCTTACGCTTATGTCACACAATTATTTCATTGATAAAAAGGAACATCCAACTCTGTGTTCTGAATAAATCTTACAGGAAAAGCAATGCGGGAGGGCCTGAAGGAAAGGGCTGGCCAAAGGAGAAAGGAAGGCTTGCTATTCTAAATGGACTTCACTGGGTATTGGCAATACAGTTTTGACTGAAACCATGTGCTTTTTGGACTTTTAGATCCCAACCAATTCTTGAGCATAACGCTTCCAGTTGCTGGCCATAGCTGTCCAACAATGACTTCATAGACCATGAATGTTTAAATAAGCAAAGTTTCAGACATCAATGGATCAGCCTGGAAGAGGCTTTAGGCAAAGAGAGCCTTGTATTCTTAATTAATTGAATCTGGAAATGTAATAATCCTTCCATTTTAAGGATCCCTCTGACCATCTGCCAAATGTGCATCCTTCACACAGGTTCAAATGTTTTCTGTGAACGTGTTTTGCCTGGTTAGGACTGCTAGGTCAGACATGATACCTATAACTTTATGGGTTCCGCTTCTCCTTTCTCTTTGCTACTTTGATCCTCACATATCTGTAGTTAGCCAAGATGGGCAGCTGAGGACCTGAATGCAAGACACAAAGAAGGGGGGCACAAGTAGTTGCATAGTTCATCAAATGGGGCAGCTGCATACTGATTTGAGCAGCTCCTGACCCACACTTTACATCTTTTACTCCAACCAGAGTGTTCTGCAATCCTAAAATGCAAGTGATGTGAGAGATTCCATTTTTTAAAAACAAAAATGCTTCCTTCACATATAGAACCAAGCACTGAGAACTGCAGTCTGGTATGGAAGCTCTCTCTTGAGGCAGCCTTCAGTATGGTAGCAGCCTATGGTGTGGTGGCACATCTGGCTATTTTAGTTTATACATCTCTCCATTGACAAGTATAGAATAGCCAAAGCAAGAGGACATTTTAGTTCACTACAACTCTGCAAAAATGCTGAGCAGCAAATTAATCAGGGACAGGACATGGATGCACAAATGGGGATCTCAACTCCCTTATTACTTTGCGTGTGCCTTCAAGTTATTTCTGACTTGTGGTGATCCTAAGGTGAATCTATCATGAGGTTTTCTGGGACTAAAAGTGTGACTTACCTAGCATCACCCACTGGTTTCCGTGGCTTGTGGTGGATTTGAACTCTGCTCTCCAGTCATAAACCAATACTCAAACCACTACAACAAGCTGGCTCTTCTCATCATTACTAGGCCCATGCATTTGTGGTATTTTACAATGTTTATGAGTTTAAATTATTCTGTAACCCACTTTGAGCCACAAGGAGAGGCTGGTAAGAAATAAAATTATTATTATTATTATTATTATTATTATTATTATTACTATTAATAATAATAATACTTTCATCATCTAAAAGCAAAAGGATCACTTTATCTTCCAAATGTATTTCCACCAATTACCATGTAACTAATATTTAATAGGTTCTTGTGGGTTTTTTCGGGCTATAGAGCTCACAACCTCTGAGGATGTTTGCCATAGATGCAGGCGAAACGTCAGGAGAAATGCCTCTAGAACATGGCTCTATAGCCCGAAAAAACCCACAAGACCCTAGTGATTCCAGCCATGAAAGCCTTCGATAATATTTAATAGATTTTACAAAATGAGTTCCAAGTTAAGGGGTACTGGTCATGTCAAGGCTGAGGAGGAGATTTTTAACTTGACACTTGTGAAAGATTTAAAGCAGTGCTTCCCAACCTTTCTTTGACCAGGGACCACTTGACCAAGAACAACTTTGACCATGGATCACTTGACCAGGGACTACTTTGACCCAGGACCACTCTACAACATTAGTGCCAAAAGGGTTATAAATCAGTTTTTGGTCAACTTTAGATTTGGTTTGGTTATTTGGGGTGCTAATTAAGAAAATTGCATTAGATAGACAATATCAGCTCTAGTTTCTGATACAAAACATATGCCACCCAGTGGTTGCCACCTGTTTACCCATAGAAAACCTTACTTAATAATCTAGAGCTGATGTGGTTTATCCAATGCAATTTTCTGAATCAGCACCCCAAATAACCCCAGAAGCAGGCTTAAAGACACCAAGGCACCCCTATTTCCAGGCACCACATGGAACAGCTCCACTCAGGGGGAGGGAGGAGGAGCAGCAGCAGCAGCCGCAGCAGCAGTCAGGAGGCTTCTCGTCATGCCTTTTGTGGGTAGTCAGTTTCTCCCCTTCTGACATCCCCATTGCCTGGGCACTATAAGAGGGTTTCGCAAGACCAGTCAATCTTGTTGCGATGGTGTAGTAACAGTGAGGCCATAGACCATATTTTACTTCTTGGGGACCACTGGTGGTCCATGGAACACAGGTTGGGAACCACTGATTCAAAGCAAAGAGCTGTAGAAATGAGAATGTCCCTTTTTGGTAGATAACTCCCAGAAACCCCATTGGCTATGCTGGTATTGTAGGAGTTTCAGTTGAAAAACAATTTTTCATAACTTATAAATGTTTTGAAAATGCTTAAATAATTACTGTTCATGATCCAGAAGGGATATCAAGTGTCAAAATAAAGTTTCAATGCCAGTATTCAACCCAATTCCATAATGGAAATGAACAGAAAGAATGTATAGCATAAGAACCAGGATAAATGCCTTTGAAACTGGAAGAAGCTACAGGTACTCTTGATAACAGGGTTGCAAGGCCTGGATTTTGACTTTCTCAGCATTGCTCTGGGCTCATTCTTTTCTTGAACTTTTAAACTTTTAACACAAATCATAGCTTGGAATGTACTCTGAAGATCGGAGAGATACTGAAACACAAAGGACCATAGAGGTGAACCAATATACATATCACTGCTATAAACTAGTTGCTGACATGACCAGTAAACATGTGTAATGACTGAGTTCATAAGGACATAGTTCAGTTTGAGTCAGTCATCGTTATTGCAGAAAGTCAGAAAATGCTTCTGATGCCCCATTGCCCTCACCTATTCAGTAAACCTATTCCGTAAACCAAAAAATAAATAAATCAAAATCTAGATAAGAAAACATGAGGAATATTCCACAGTTTGAATGACATAGCAGGCATCATATCACAGGGGGAAATAGCTTTGGTGGACAACCCCAAGCCCTCAGTTTCTATCAACAGGCTACACTGCAGCCTTCCATTGTGAATTCATCACATAGAGTCCAGCAGCCTAGGAAATGGATTGCCTGAGTATATCTAGATATGTGCTTGGATACGAGGACCAAAACCTGTTTAAAGCAGGACTTCCCCACACTTTAATTTCATCCAGACTAGCCAGCACTACTCTCTAAATTTCTCCACATTTAAAATCAGTCTATCTGTCCATTCCACAGACATGGCTAAAGCACAGGCCAAGTATATATATAGAACTTCATATTACCAGCTTGCCACTGCAATGATAACAACTTTTCATACTTTACATTATATATCCTAAGCATTTGGTCAGCAACCTTCTTCTGTGTCACCCTAATGCTGCATAAACAGAGTTTTTTCTCTTCCAAAGTTTCTGCTGATCATCTGTTTCCTGGCATGTGTCACAGTGTCTGGTTATCTAAAGTTCTTCTATCAGGTTCCTTTGATTCTTTTAATGACCTATTAAATATTCAGTCTAGACCAGTGGTTCCCAACCTGTGGGCCAAAGGTGGTGGTGGTGAAGGGTTAAGGGTTCTACTCCTCCCCCAGACTTTGTTTACTCAAGAATGTTAACTGGTTAACCAATTTATGAGTAAACCAGGTTTCTTTTTTAACCTGACACATTACAGAGCAGTGTTGAACTTTCAACCTCCCCCCCCCCCCGGGCTACGACCCTAGGTCCCCAGATGTTTTGGCCTTCAACTCCCAGAAATCCTAACAGCTGGTAAACTGGCTGGGATTTCTGGGAGTTGTAGGCCAAAACACCTGGGAACCCACAAGTTGAGAACTACTGGTCTAGACACAGATACATAGGAAATAAAAACTTGTCAATAGTAGGGAGCAACAGACCTAGTGAACTTAACCCAGAATTATGTTCTTTGAAAAAATAGGAAAAATAACATTCTAGATACTGCAAGGAGATCTTCACACAGCATCATGGGGGTGGTGGTTGTGGGGTTAAGAAAAAACACATTTCACAGGAAAGGTGGAGAAAGAGATGCAAGGAGCAAGACTGCTTTCAAAATCCTAAGTCTGTCATTGGGAGGTAATGTAATTAGATTACAAGGCACAGCAGAGATGGCTGCCCATCAGCATCCTTCAGAGGATTGAGCATTAAGAATGTCAGTCTGTGAACAGTCTTCCTGTTTGGAGAAAAAGAGCACAATGAAGCCAACAATGTGCTCTTAATATATTCATGGGTGGTGGGGGTGGGTCTGATTTATTTTGCTAGCTGCCCTTTGATTGGCAACCCCCAGTGCCATGCATCTAAAGATATTCAGCATTGGTTTTAGAGCTCTGAAAAAATGTTCAGAATCAAATGTTCCCATTTTGATTTTTTTTCTCTTCAAAAGGTCTCTGCCTGAGAGTTTCATTTGCAATTCTCCATCCCTTTGCTGGCAACAAAGCAGGCGATCAGATCATGTATCCTTTTATAAATTTGTAAAAATGTTAATTTACATCATGAAAATGTGCACACATGCACACATATTAAAAATAGATCGTTTAGTCTGAGATTTAGTAGGGCCAAATCTCAAGATGGCATAGAATATGTTCTCATCTAAAAGGGCTCTGGAATAAGATGGCCTGCAGTTCGATATCAAATCCCATTAGCAAGTCTGAGATCTCCTGCCAAGACAACCATTTAGGAAATCATCAGCCAAGGACTAATGCATCATCCAAGCTTGACCGTAAACCCCCAATGTGAATTGCCTTCCTTTCTTCCTTCCTTCCTTCCTTCCCAATGCAATCTTCAGCACCTCCACCCTGTAGTTCTGAAATGATCAGAGGATTCCAAAAGTCCACTTTGACTCATTGTTTTTTATCTCTTTTAAATATACAATATAAAACAATATGTTATTGTACATTTGAGCAACATTGGCACAAACATCCTGTTAAGTCAGACATTGTTCTGTTTTACATTCAAACACCATGAGACGGCTTGGGGTTTTTCCCCCCTTAAGCTTTGAGAATGTGCAAATGTAAGTCAGTCGAAGAGGCTAGCACCACGGATAGCTCCAAGCCTCTGCTTCAGATGGGAGGGGAGGGAGAGAAGAGGAGAAGAGGAGGAAAGAACAGGTCAGAGAAGGGACATGGAAGAATAGCAGCAACACAGCTTTCCCCGCAGCACTTCATTGAAGCGTGGACGACAGACACACTTCTTTCAAACCCCCTTCCCCCCCCCCAACCCACCTGCCTTCCCTGCCCCTAGTGCCGAGTCAAACAAGGAAAGAAATCATGAAAGGCATTGGATTTGCAGTGATGGGAGACATTTGTCTATGACCATCATCCACTTTGCAGAACAACCACTATGGCAGAGCCACCAACAGCAGGAAGGACAAATACATGCAGGAATTGTTGCTTCATAAGGGAGGATGGGGGGAAAGAGAGAAAGAGAAAGAGAGGGAGGGAGGCAAGGAAGAACTTGCAAGACTGAAATGCCCCGGCTGTTCTTCTGTGAGCCACAGGGATTCACCAGTGGGGCTTCCGACAGGCAAGGTCACAGCAAACGGCGGCGTTCTCCTGAACAAGGAAGAACCTTGTCAATAAATTATGCCTCAGGTTGGGCCCTGAGGACAGTTTAGGGAATCTCTGCATTGGGAGGAAAAAAGGGGGACGTAATCTGTCCCTCCCTGCCTTTTAGGATACTGCAGGGTCCCTTCTGCCAGCACCCCACTGGGGACAAGGCTGGACATGGAAGAGGAAGGACCACTTCTGCCCACAGCCCAAGGGATACAGCACATCACATCATGAGCCAGACCGTCTCCCTTGCCCCCTTCCACCCCAAACTATTCCGATGCCGCAGTTGTGAGAAAGGCTTGATGTAATTTGGGGAGTGGCTTGGGGAATGGAATGTGCAGAGAGAGAGAAAGGGGGCCTGGATCAAGCCTCGCTCCCCTTTGCAAGGCAACCCACAGAGGGCTCATTTTGGGGGAAGAAACCCCCATCTGTTTTGCGGCAGGACTAAAGGATGTGTCCTAATTATGACCCCCCTCCTCCGGTCAACTCCAGCAGAAATCAGGGCTGAGAAAAGGCTGGAGAAGCACAAAGCATATGGGAAGGGTGGAGAAGGGTGGCCTTTGGTGGTGAGGTGTTGGGGGTGTGCAGAGAGGTCCTCAAGGGGCTCCTTAGCAGTCCGGGCTTGTAGCCCAGCACTTGGGGACCTCTCCTCAGCAGTCCAGGCTTGTAGTCCAATACTTGGTGGAGCTGGAGCTTGGTGGTCCAGGCATACAGGCCAGTTCTTGGTGGACCCAGGGCCAGAGGGAGGCCTAGCGGTCCAGGCTGATAGTCCAGTGCTTGGGGCCTGAGGAGGAGCTGTCCTTGGCGTGTCCCGCCTCGCCCTCGTTCTTGAGGTCCTGGAAGACCTGGGTGAAGAAGTGGGGGTCGGCGTTGATGCGCAGCATCTTGGCGCTGAGGCCCTGGATGATGGCCAGGCAGCGGTCCCAGAAGCGCTCCTTGTCGCCCTCGACCAGGAAGGGCTTGAGCGGGTAGGAGATCTCGTTGCCCATGTAGGAGTAGGCCAGGTAGAGGCAGGTGAGGAAGGCGGCCTGCAGCTCGGCGGGGCTCCCGATCTGGTCGCCCTCCAGCGCCTCCCGGCAGAGCAGGTACACGAAGACCAGGTTGGCCGGCGTGATGAAGCCCTGGTCCTGCCAGCCCTGGAGCAGGAGCGAGCGGTCCACGCTGCGGAACCAGCCCACGGGCTCCCCGGGGCCCAGCTCCTTGAGCCGGTAGCAGCGCCGGCACACGAAGTCGCCCAGGCAGCGGAGCAGCTCCCCCGTCGAGGCCTGGACCACCACCCGGCGCGGGGAGGGGGCCGCCGAGGAAGCGGAGGAGGGGGGGCCGCGGTTGCCGGGCAACGGGAGGGGCGGGGGCGGCGGCGGCGGCGGGGCGGGGGGCGGGGCCTTGCCGCTTCCCTCGGGGCCCGGGACGGTGGGCACCGGCACGGCTAAGGGCCCCGGCTTGGCCCCATCCGCCTGGCGCGCGTTCTCGCGGTTGCGCTGCTGCACCAGCGGGTCCCCGCAGTCCGGCTTGGGCGTCACCTTCTTGGCGCTCTTCTTCTTCTTCGCCGAGGCGGCCACCAGCCGCTTCCACGTCAGGGCCGAGATGAGCACCCCGGGGCGCTTGAGGCGGCTCTCGCCTTTGCCGTGCGACCGCGACGGCGCCGCCGCCTTCTCCGACAAGACCCCTCCGCCGCCGCCGCCGCCGCCGCCGCCGCCCTTCCCGGGGGCGCTGGGAGAAAGCGACAGCACCGTCCCCATCGCGGCGGAGGAGGAAGAGGAGCCTGCTGTTCCTCGTTCGGGCCTGGCTGCTCCTCCTCAGCCACACGCCATGGGATCCCGAGCGGACAAACCAGCGCCAACCGACCTCCGCTCTCGACGCCGCCGCTCGACTCACTGGCGGCCGCTCCGAACCCAGCCCCGCCTTCGTTCCCCCTCCGCTGCCAGCAGCCAATCCCAACGCGAGGCTCTTCCCGCTTCGGCCAATCGCGCCGAAGGACGCCTACCTCCCCCCAGTTCCATGTGGAAGCTCTCACCCTCGCCTTCGGGTGCGAAGCAGCCAGGCCGGCTTCCCCGAGGGCGAAACCATTCTCTCCGGAAGCGGGGGGCAAGAGGAGGCACCTCCAAAGAGAACGCGGCGCCTTTTACCGGCTACTTCCCAGCCAGAGCTTTCATTGGAACCACCTGGCCGGTCTTCTTCGGCAGGGCTGCGCGTGCTTCCCCGCGCATGCGCAGGCTGCCTTGGTTCCGAGTAACAATTTGGTTCCACGCAGTTAGGCTTCTGTTGATGCCGTTGCCAGGAGAGGGAAATCTAAAGGGATTGAGGAAGTTCCAGGGTGCACCTGTTGAATGAATGCAGTTTGACAGCACTTTAAATGTCATGGCACAATGCTACGGAATCCTGGGAGTTGTAATTTCACAAGGGCTTTAGCCTTCTCTGCCAAAAAAAAGCTAGTTCCTAGCCAAACTTCAACTTCCAGGACTCTTCCACACACGGCTATATAACCCAGGATATCAAGGCAGGAAATCCCACAATATCTGCTTTGAACTGGGTTATTTGAGCCCACATTGTCATATATTCCAGTTCAAAGTGGATAATGTGGGATTTTTTACCTTGATATCCTGGGTTATATGGCTGCGTGGAAGAGCCCCCAGTAATCTATATCATTGAGCCATGGCAACTGAAATAGTGTCACGCTGCATTAAGGCCACATGTCAGACTTTTGGCCCTCCAGATGTTTGGGCTTCCAACTCCCAGAAGCCCTTGACAGATTGTCCAATGATTTTTGTGTTTACACAAGGATCCCATCCTTTTTTTTTTATCATGTCAAGCGAACTGAGAATATACTGCAAGTCACTTCTCGTGTGAGAGAATTGGCCGTTGCCCAGGGGGATGCCCAGATGTGTTATCATCCTGTGGGGGGCTTCTCTCATGTCTCTGCATGGGAAGCTGGGACTGACAGATGGGAGCTCCCCTGCCTCACGGATTCACAGTTTAACCCATTGTGCCACCGCAGCTCCCAATTCATCAATATGATACCTTGTTATGGACATATAAGTAAGTAGAGGCATTCTAATAGGCAAAAAGAGCTCCCTACATTTTGGATAAGGGATACCCAACTAGTATTTCTATAGGGAGTTAACTTGCACTTCCTGTCTCTTTCTCGACATCTCTTCTCTGTTTGGTTGTGTTCCTTTGATGGTGAAGCAGACATATCCTAAGGTATACAGGCCCTACACTATTATAGGGCTTTAAAGGTTTAAAGGTTAACTCAAAGCCTTGGACTGAGCTCAGGAGCAGACAAGTCATCATGGCAAATTAGTCAAACTAAGAGCAATCCATGAGATCCATTCATCAGGCAGACAGCTGCTGTGTGTACTAGTGGAAGCACCCAAACCAGTGCCCTAGATACTTTTAGCTCACATCAAATGGCTGAGAGTTGGCTTGTGGAAGTTGTAGAAACAAAAACAAACAAAACAAGCAAAAAAAAAACCTGGAGGGGATTTGGTTCAGTAAAATAACTCCAAATTGTCTTCAATGAGAGATCCTTATAGAATATGACATGTAACAAGTGTGTGGTTAATGGCAGTGGCCACCACCTGGTTTCAGCCTCCGAGTCCAAGGCTTGGAAAGAATACCACTCAGATGACAGATTGTAACATGACAAGGCTGGTAATCTCATTTGGAGGGGAACATAATTTTGTCATAGGAGGTACCCAACAATATGCATTCATTTTGTATTACTTTGTTTGCATTGATTCAGCCAAGGCTACATCTGATCAGGAATGCAAATATACCACTTTTGCCCCTGGAAAGATCTAAAGAAAACCTTGCTGTAGCTTTCTTTTGGTGTGTGCATCAGGAACGACTTGAGAAACTGCAAGTTGCTTCTAGTGTGAAAGAATTGACCATCTGCAAAGATGTTGCCTGGGGATGCCCAGATGTTTTACCATCCTGTGGGAGGCTTCTCTCATGTCCCCACATGGGAAGCTGGAGCTGACAGATGGGAGCTCACCCCTTTTAGTTAGCAGTCCTGTTGTTACAAGGGTTTAACCCATTGTGCCACCGGGGGCTCCTGTAGCTGTCAGATATTGATACCATCTCAGGTCCAAGTTGATGGGCTCCCTCTTCAAAATATATCAGCCCTTGTAATACATAGTATGAATCCCATTGCATCAAACAAAAAGGCAGACATATTGGTACTCATTTAGGTTCACTTCCAGGCAAGAACAGAACCAAAACAAAATAATTATCTGATCCCACCAAATTGTCTCACAAAGACTTGGAGATCAACAGTTATGAAAAGGGCCCTATCAAGTTCTTCAGTCACGTTTGAACTAGTATCATATAACAGTTTCAGTGTGGGACTATGACTCTGGAAATCAGAGTTTAACTTTTGTCTCAACCATGGAAACCCACCATGTGACCTTGGGGAAATCACATTCTCTCAGCTTCAGAAGACAGCAAAGGCAAACCTCCTGTGATAGGTTCCCCTTAGGGCCACTATTAATCAGAAATGACTTGAAGGCACACAATAACAAATGTCTCCTTTAGTTGTATTGTCATGATGCCCACATGTGCTCAAACCCAGCTTTCAACTAGTGCTTGCAATGTGTTTCAGCACACTCACCTCTATGCTGAAACAGGCATCCTGGAACCTGGCAAACAGACTGCATGCTGGCCCTAAATACATCAGATCCTGCTTGATTCTAAAACTAAATAGAATCTGGCCTCGTTAGCACTCATAGTGGAGGATATACCGTGTGTTTTAGGCTATGTTCATAGGAGGGCATTAACTAGCCTCTTATGACTAAATCTTGCAAAAAAAAAAGTCTGCCATAAGTCAGAGTCTGCTAGAAGTCACATAATAACAAAAAGCATGAAAGAAGACTCCCAGCAGGATGGTAACACATCCAGGCATCCCCTGGGCAATGTCTCTATAGATAGCCAATTCTCTCACACCAGAAGCTATTTGCAGTATATTCTCAAGTCGCTTCTGACACGATTAACAAAACAAATAAAACAAGTACCTTTATTGGAAAACTGGTTGTTGTCTAGTGCTCTAACCACTACACCAGACTGGCTTTCTGTTGCAAACTATTGCCTTTTAAACCTTTTCCCTCCTTATCTGTAAATTCCTGCAAGTTACCTTGCCTCAAGGAATGGTTCTCAACCTGTGGGTCCCCAGATGTTTTGGCCTTCAACTCCCAGAAATCCTAACTGATAAACTGGCTGGGATTTCTTGGAATTGTAGGTCAAAATACCTGGGGGTGAAGCCACAAGAGACAACTTTTAAAACCAGGCTTGATTATCTTAAAGATATACATCTGTCTTTCCTTTCCTGTTTCCTGGCACCTTTGTTTCAGACAGTCACAGAATCCTTGTCTGTGAAATCAGCCCCTGGCTATAGCCAAGGTATTACCAGAGAAAGAGGAAGCCTTTTCCTGTTCTTTTTTTGTCTAACACTCATACTCAACAACAACAACAACAACAATTTCATTCCAAAAGACCCCTCCGTCTTGCTCAAGAGCAATCCTCCTCCCTCCCACTCATTCCTTCTCTGTTCTCACTTTCTTGAATATTTCAGCACCTGGAAAACAACTCCAATAAATTGAGATAAACCTTAACACTAACATCCTTTCCTTCCTTTTCCCTGCCAATTTTTCACATAACCCAGTTTTTTCTTTTCTTGTTTTTCTGATTCCAACAGTGTTTCGTATTTCCCCCTCTCTTAAACTCTTTTTACCTCATTCTTCCTGGTTCTCTTCACTGTCCTGCCTTTCCTACCACCTCCTCCCTCCGAACAAAAGCCACTCCTTGCCTTGGAGCAGGGGTCCTCAAACTAAAGCCCAAGGGCAGGATACGGCCCTCCAAGGTCATTTACCCAGCCCTCACTCAGGGACAACCTAAGTCTGAAATGACTTGAAAGCACACAACAGAAGCAGCAGCAGCAACAACAACAACAACAACCCTATCTCATCAGCCAAAAGCAGGTCCACACTTCCCATTGAAATACTAATAAGTTTATATTTGTTAAAATTGTTCTTCATTTTAATTATTGTATTGTTTTTAAGTGATTTTTGCACTTCAAATAAGATATGTGCAATGTATAGGAATTCATGTTTTTTTTTTTTCAAATTATAATCCGGCCCTCCAACAGTTTGAGAGACTGTGACCTGGCTCTCTGTTTAAAAAGTTTGAGGAACCCTTCCTTGGAGCTTTCCTGAAACTTAACTATAGATGCTTCTTTCCAAAATGTCTTTATGGCTTGATTCCTTTCTGTTCCTCCCCCAATTTCCCTCACAATTCAAGAAAGGCTGTTCCTTCCTTCATTGAAATCATCCCATGACTTTGAATAACCTCTCTTACAAACTCTTTTTTTTTCTTCGTGGCTACAAATACACATGAAGTTGCTTTTCTCTTGTTTCGCTTTAGCTAAACAATCAGTTCTTGGGGTTTGGTTCCAGGAACCCCTGTGGATACAAAATCTATGGATGTGCAAGTCCAATTTACTACAGTGGTATAGTAAAATTTTGTCTTTTATATAAAAGAGCAAAATCAAGGTTTTTTGGGGGGATTTTTTTTCAATGGGGGATTTTGAAATCATGGATGGTTGAATCTGTGAATGGCTGAACTTGTGGGTGTGGAGGGCTGACTATACCACTATTTATCAAGTGCTTGTTTGTATTATAGAGTTAGAAGAGACCATAAAGGCCATCCAGTCCAACCCCCTGGCACACATGAACACACAATCAAAGCACTCCCTACAGATAGCCATCCAGCCTCTGCTTAAAAACCCAGAGAAGGAGACTCCACCATACTCCCATTTAGCATTTTGGAGTAATTACTTTCCAATTCCTTGCCTATGCCTCTCAGTTTTGAGGTGCCAGATTTCCTTTCAAATTGAAATTTCAGAGCCAGAAGATCCTGCACACTTTGACTTAC